CAGCTTTGTTCTTTTCCCTCAGGATTGCTTTGGCTATTTGGGCTTTTTTTGGTTTGTTTGTTCATAAGAATTTTAGAATCGTTTTTTCTATTTCTGTGGAAAATGACATTGATGTTTTGGTAGAGATTGCACAGAATCTGTGGACTGCTTTGGACAGTAAGGCCATTTTGACAACATTCTTCCAATACATAAGTATGGAATGTCTTTGTTTTTTTGTTTCCTCTTCAATTTCTTTCATCAATGTTTCATAGTTTTCCTTGTAGAGATCTTTCACCTCCTTGGTTAAACATATTCATGAGTATTTTTCTTTTTTTTTTGAGTTGGAGTCTCACTCTGTCGCCCAGGCTGGAGTGCAGTGGCATGCTCATGGCCACCGCAGCCTCAACCTGCTGGACTCACGTGACCCTTCCGCCTCAGCCTTCGAAGTAGCTGGAACTATAGGTGCATACTATCACACCTGGCTGATTTTTTGATTCATTGTAGAGACGAGGTCTCACCAGGTTGCCCAGGCTAGTCTCAAACCCCTGGACTCAGGTAATCCTCTTGCCTCGGCCTTCCAAAGTGCTGGGATTACAGGCTTGAGCCACCACACTTGGCCTGAGTATTTCTTTTTTGGAGGGTAGCTATAACTGGAATTGCCTTCTTGATTTCTTTTTCAGCTAGTTTGTTACTGGTGTGTAAAAATACCATTGATGAGGAAAAAAATACCATTGGTTTGTGTGTATTGATTTTGTATCCTGCAACTTTACTGAATTCATTTACCAGTTCTAAGAGTTTCTTGGGTACAGTCTTTATATTTTTCTATATATGGTATGGCATCATGCCATCTGCAAACTAGGACAATTTGACTTCCTCCTTTCTAATTTTATGCCCTTTATTTCCTTCTCTTGCTGACTGTTCTGGCTAGGACTTCCAGTACTATGCTGAATAAGAGTGGTGGCAGTAGGGATCCTTGTCTTGTTCTAGTTCTTAGAGGAAAGGCATTTAGCTTTTCTCCATTCAGCATGATGTTAGCTGTGAGTTTGTGTTGGGAGCCAGCCTTGGAGGCCCACCTGATTGACAGGGTCCTGGTGGGCCTAAGACCCTGGGCCACAGGGCGAGCCCAGGAAGCTGAGGCCCCTCTGTCTTCCACCTTTACTGTTGATACGCCGAAGAATTCTGTGCAGTCATGAAGAAGAAAATAGCATGTTTTTGTGAAGTAGTCACAACTAACCTGGAAACGTCATTGTTCATTTTTCCATTTCCCACCATGCCGTTTGGCCCTTTCTAACATATGCAATGGTTAAACTCTGAAGCACGTTTAAAATGCTTTCTTTCACTTGGTTATAAGTTACTAGACATTGCTTGAGTAAAAAAATGATATAAGTATATTCACTTCTTATTTGATTTAAAATAATGTAGTTTAGTGTTTAGACATAAGGTTTTTTAGAAGCACAAGTTCAGTAGTAAGTTCATTAGGAATTCATTATAAGTTCTGACACATACCTAGGAGTTATGTAGGTGATTTGTAACATTGCCTTTATGGATTTAAGGTAAAGATTATTCATTAAGGTTTTTTACTTAATTCAATAGTTAAGATTTTGAGTTAACATATATAGAATAGGTTTTCACTGAACTCATGATATATTAATTGGATATTTTTATGATAAATTAACTGAATACAGAAAGCAACCTTGGGGGCCTGGGAAACATCACTAAAAGCTTCTTTTGAGTTTTCAAGTTTGTCATATATGACTTTTATTGTGTTGAGCTACTTACCTTCTATACATAATTTGCTGAGAGTTTTTTTTTATCACGAGGGAATGTTGAATTTTATCAAATGCTTTTTCTCATCTATTGAGATGATCCTAAGTTTTTTTGCCCGTTATGCTACTGTTGTCATGTATCATGTTTCTTGATTTGTGTATGTTAAATGAATCTTGAATTCTTGGTCAATCCCACTTGATCATGGCATATTATTTTTTTGATGTACTGTTGGATTTGGCTTGCTAGTACTTTGTTGAGGATTTTTACATCTGTGTTCACCAGGGATATTGGCCTGTAGTTTTCTTTTTTGTGTGAATCCTTGCTGGTTTTGGTATCAGGATTATGCTGGCTTCATAAAGTTAGTTAGGAAGAGTTCCTCCCAGTTCATTTATCTGGAATAGTTTAAGAAGAATTGGTATTAATTCTTCTATAAATGTTTGGTAGAATTGAGCAGTGAAGCCATGTGGCCCTGGGCTTTTCTTTGTCAGGAGACTTTTTACTACTGATTCACTTTCATTATTTGTTATTGGTTTGTTCAAGTTTTCTATTTCTTTTTTTTTTTTGAGTTGGAGTCTCACTCTGTCACCCAGACTGGAGTGCAGTGGCTGCTCCCGGCCACCGCAGCCTCAACCTGCTGGGCTCCGGTGATCCTGCCGCCTCAGCCTTCCAAGTAGCCGGAATTACAGGCATGCGCTGCCACGCCTGGCTGAGTTTTTGATTTATTGTAGAGATGAGGTCTCACCAAGTTGCCCAGGCAGGTCTCAAGCCCGTGGGCTCAGGCAATCCACTCACCTCAGCCTCCCAAAGGCACGGGATTACAGGCTGAGCACCGAGCCTGGCTAGTTTTCTATTTCTTCATGGTTTAGTCTTGGTAGGCTTTATGTATCTAAGACTTTACCCATTTCTTCTAGGTTATCTAATTTGTTAGTGTGTACTTATCCATAGCAGGCTCTTATGATCCTTTTTATTTATGTAGTATCTCTTGTAATGTTTCCTCTTTCATTTGTGATTTTGAGTCTTTTTGTAGTTTCTTCAGGTGTAACATTAACTTATTTGGGACTTATCCTTCTTTTTTGGTGTCAGCTATTATTGCTATAAACTATTACTGCTATAAAAAAGAGGACTTAGAACAGCTTTTGCTGTATCCCATATGTTTTAGTACGTTGCTTTCATTGTCATGTCTCAAGGTATTTGTACATTTTACTTTAAATTTCTTATTTGATTCATTGGTTGTTTAATTTGCACAGATATGTGAATTTCCTGAAATTTTTCCTATTATTGATTTCTAGTTTCATACCATTGCGGTCAGAAAAGATATCTGATAAGATTTCAACCTTCTTAAATTTGTTAAGATTTGTTTTGTGGCCTAAATGTGATCTATCCTGAACAATGTTCCATGTGCACTTGAGAAAAGTATGTATTCTGATGCTGTTAAATAGAATGGTCTGTGCATGCTTGTCTGTTTGGTCTAAAGTATAGTTCATCTCCAACATTTCGAAACTGATTCTGTCTAAATGATCTGTTGTTGGAAGTGGGGTATCGAAGTCCCCTACTATTATTGTATTGTGGTCTGTCTCTGTCTCTCTCTTCAGATCTATTAATATTTGCTTTATAGATTTAGGTGCTCCGATGTAGGGTGCATATGTACTTACAACTGTTAAATCTTTTTGATGGATCAATCTCTTTCTTTATTATTATATAATAACTTTGTCTCTTAATAGTTTGACTTAAAGTCTATTTATCTGACATATGTAGAAACACTCCTGCTCTTTTTTGGTTTCCTTTGTATAGTACATCTTTTTCCATCTTTTCATTTCAATCTATGTGTCCTTAAAGATGAAGTGAGTTTCTTGTAGGCAGAATAGAGTAGGAACTTTTTTTTTTTTTTAACCCAGTCAGTCACTCTGTCTTTTGATTGGAGAATCTAATCTACTTGCATTCAAGGTAATTATTGATAAGTAAGGACTTACTACTGCCATTATGTTAACTGATTCTGGTTGTCTTGTAGATGCTTTGCTCCTTTCTTCCTCTCTCAGCTGTCTTCCTTTGTGATTAGACAATTTTTCTCTAGGGGTATGCTTTGATTCCCTACTTTTTATCTTTTGTGTATCTATTATAGGTTTTTGCTTTGTGGTTACCATGAGGCTGATATGAAACATCTTAGTTATAATAGGCTATTTTAAGCTGATCACTTCATTTTGTTTGTGTAACATAATTATACTTTTACTCTACCCTTCCCACACATTTTATGTTTTTGACGTCACAATTTACATCTTCTTATATTGCATATTCCTTCTGCCTTACACTATAAAAGAAGAAGGGCAATCACTGAGTTTTGCTTTGGCAAGTTCTTTTGGCCTTAATTTTTGACTCAATGAGAAACCTGATCTATAAGGGGAGGAAGCATCACTGGCTCTGGAATCACAATTCTGAGTTCAAATCCCTGCTCTGCCACCTCCTCAGTGTATTGCCATGGTTACATTACTTATCACTGCTAAGCTTCAGCTTCCTCATCTGTGAACTGGGGCTGAGATGACCTCACATAGCTGCAATGGGCAGCCAACTGGAGATCATTTAATGTCCAGCCACTTCCTTCAATTTGATATCCTCACACTTTTGTCAGGAACAGTACCCTGTGAAGCCTAGGTCTTGGGGAGATATATATAATAAAAGCGAAACTAACATTTCTGTGATATTTGCCACGTACCTGCACGATGTTAAATGTTTCCATGTATTACCTCATTTTATTTTCATAACAGTCTATTTATAAGGAAACTGAGGCTTAGAAAGCTTAAATGACTTGCTCAGGATCACAGCTAATACATGGCAGAACCAGGATCTATTTTCTATGAAAAGTTAAAAAATATATATCTAATATATTCATCTATTTGGTGAGAGAGAGCCTGATCGTTGCAGAGTGAACTGACAAAATGGAGCATCTGAGTATGGGAGGGAGGTGGAAACCCAGGTCTCTGGGCGTGGTGGCTCCTGTGGCTGTTGGTTCAATGATGCAGAGTCCTATGGCCAAAATCTGTACATGTGCTACTCCCTTTGGCAGTCTAGCCCCTGTCACAGGAATACTTGGGCAGTTGGGCTACTTTGAATAGGGCCTGTGATGGAACTGCTTATTTGAAGAAAAGTAGGAATGCCACAAGCAGGGTCCCTGACTAAGAGCTAATAAAACTTAATTGTGGCAACAGGGCTCTAAATGTCCTCCATGACTTGATAGGCCAAGAGTGAGACAGCCACGCCAGTTTTTTTACAGAACTTAAACACAGCGGCATTTATTGCTAGCAAGGGCAAGTCTTACACACAGATGGGTTTTAACATAAACACATAAAAAGGGAGGTACCCCCAGCCTCCGCAGGTTCTTTGTTCTCTCCAATGCATGCTTCATTTCTACTGCAGGCCTGGCCAACACTGTTCTCTGCAGAAGCTAAAGTTCCTCCACGCTGGAAGTTCCTTATCAGCTGGAAGCGAAGAGTAGGAAAGACTCTGGAACACCACCTATGTGAGCTCCAGCCATTTTCTCGGCTTCAGGGAAAACAGGAAAAAAGTCCCAATAGGCAAAATGTTTTCTCTAAAAAGCTGGACGGAAGTATGCAACATTCCTTTGCTTAAGAAGCAAAACAAAATGAACCAGTCTTGCGAACTGACACCCAACGCTGTGCAAGTGACAGGGATTCTACATTGGGAGTGGTGGGCACACAAGTTCAACTTGGCACCTCTGCTCAGAGGTGTGGGGGGCCATGGAGCCCAAGCCCGTCAGAGAGGAGGGCCCCTCCCCAGCTGCCTTGGGCTGGTCTCTGGGTCTCCAGGGCCAGGCCTCCGGGAGGCATCAGTCCTCAGTCACAGGCGGGGGGATGAGCTGCAGCTGGAAGTTCTCATTCTGGAAGATGCTGCTGAAAGCTGGGCCACTCTGGGAGCCACTGAATGGCCTGTAGCTCTCGCCGCTGCGGTTCTGGGAAAGTTCTGTGAGGAGAGCCAGCTGCAAAGGAGGGAACCCACATCAGCCTGGGCCTGTGGGGAGCAGAATCTGTGTGTATGGGCATGGGAGGGGGTGTGGAACAGCGGTGGAGAGGGTCCTGAACTCCCCTGCCTTAGATACATGAGAAATAGTCCTATGTTTTGGGAAGATTAAAAAAAACAAAACAAAAAGAAACTGGGTTTGACCCTAAGTCTGATTTTCACAAACTAGTAGTGTGACTTTGGGCAAGTTCACTTCATTTCTCAGGGCCCCCTTTTTCTCATTCAGTAATGAGGCCGGACTGGTTTGCTCCCAAGGACACTGTGCCATCCCTGCATTGGAGAGCTGTCCGATCCTGGGACTGCCTGGCCCCCTGAGCTCTCCTTCTCCAGCTGCTGTGCATGACCTTGTCTGTCTTTCTGCGGACACTCCCTGGGACACTCCCTGTGGATACTCCCTGGGCTGAGGTTCTCCATTCTCAGCTCATTTTATCCCACACTCTTCCTCTTTATGCATTCTTCTCAGGGTAAATGACCCTGAATTATGGCCACTGGTTCTTACCTCTCTCTCTTGTAAGCTGGATCGTTCCAAATGGATACCCAGATGCCAGTCCAAACTCAGGGGCTCCAGAGAGGAACTCACAGACTCCACCTTCTCCTCCAAATAAGTCCCCCCGTTCCCATTTCCCTATTCCCACCAATGATACCAGCAGTCTCATTTTGTTAGTGGCTCAATTCTGGAAGGTCTGCCAAGGAGAGGATGGTAGGAGGAAGTGTTCATGGCAGCCTGCAAATGAGCCATCACACTCCGGGCAACCCTGTGTTCAACTCCACGTCAGAAGTCCGAGGGGACTTCTGATAGCCTCGGGGAACTACACTGAGTATCTCTTCAGTGCCAGGCACTTTGCCATGGTGCTTTGCATGTGTATGATTTCTAACCCTTCACAGCAACCTTCTAGAGTAAAGCACCTGGAGCCCTGAGGAGTTCAGTGACCAGCAGTGAGTGACAGTGTGGGGTCATCTGCCAGGCACCCTGTCTTTGAGCTGCTCTCTGGCCTCTGGCAAGGGTTTTTCCCCTCACACAGGCAGTAATGGCACAAGGCCCACATGTGTCCCTCTGTCACATCTTCACATCTGTTGAAAACTCACAACCACTGGCTGTAGTAACAGGGGAGACATCTGAAGGCCCCTAAGTTCTAAGTGCCAATTTACCAAAAACAAACCATTCCCAGGTCCTGGCCCAGAGACATGTCTATTGCTTGATTCACAATTCAGTAATTCTTGACTCAAGCTCTGACTGCATGTTCCTTAGCTGCTCAAAGGCAGCTCAAGGAGCCTCAAGTAGGTTAAGTGAGCTAAGTAGCTAAGTGAGCTCAAGTAGGCTCAATCAGGTAATCTGGCCAGGGACTGACATATGTCCCTTGCTCTGCCCAAGTCCCACCTAATGCCACTTCCTTTCTTCAGTGACCCCGTCAGCTGCCCATCAGCCTGTGAAGTTTGCTTAAAGGACTGTTATGTACAATGTCTTGAATAGAACAGTCAACAGATGCTAAACTCAATGCCTTCACATTCTGACACTGTGAAGTAGAAAGATCAGCCACAAAAAATACTTTATATTTCCCAAGAAGAGAGATTTTTGTGTTTTACTTTTGCAACTTCATGATTTGGAAATCAATGAGTGCTGTATAAGGCACTCATCAGTTTGAAGCAGAAGAATCTCCTTGGAAGGTCCCAGAACCTGACACTGAGGCAGAGCATGGCTGAGGTTGGGAAGGGATGGAGGTGATGCCAATTCAATAGAGCTGCTGGACCACATTCAGGGACCTCAGCAAAAGTGTCCCAGAATAACAACCTCTGTCCAGGCCAACTCTCAAAGAGTGGGTACCCTCTTTCCTCTTGGCTGCCAAGCAACATAGCAGGTTCTGCCTGAGAGCAGGAGTGGGAGCAGGGAGCCCAGGCATAGCAGTAGAGCACACAGCTGTTTGCATAAGCTCAAGATAAGTTCAGGAACAAACGACCCGGCTGGAATTCAGGTGTGATTTGGGGAATGGAGGAGGTGGTCAAGTCTGGACTCCATCCTTTAGGTGGTAGAGTTTCAGGATGTGTTTACAGCAAGAGGTAATGTGACATTTGGGTTTGGAAAGCATACCCAGGCAGCAGGAGAGAAAGGATTCAAATGAATCAAAAGACTTGCGGTGGCCTCTGCGATGACAAGGAGGCCTGACCCAGGACAGTGGCAGTTTGGAGGAAAAGAGCAGAAGGAGAGAAGATGCCTATGGAACCTCCCCAGTGAGTGGGTGAAGGATGAGGGATGGGCCCAGGGTGCTGCCAGGTTCTCCCCGGGTGACTGGATGAGAGATTTAAGGTGCCGTTCCTGAGGCAGGCACTAGGCATGGAAGAAAAGGTAAAGAAAGCTAATGAGTACTTAAAGGTGCCTGAAGTACTGGGGTGTCTAAAGTGCCTGGGGACACCCTGACTGATGCTGTGGCAGTGACTGCTAGTAGCCCTCAATCTACAGTTAGAGGGCACCAAGAATCTTAGCCCATGGCATTTTGGAGTCAAGACCAATTTTCTCAGGCTTCGTTGCAGTTAGGTGTAGTCACGGGTCTGAGTTCTAGACAATGGAGGTAAGTGGAAATGGCGTGCACAACTTCTAGGGACTGTCTCGAAAGAGGACTCATCCTCTCCTTCCCTTTTCTCCATCTTGCTGCTGGACTACAACACAATGGTTTGAACATAAGCAACCATGTGTAAGCCATTTGTTAAGGACGGCAGAGCCACAGATAGAAGAAATCCGGAGGGCCGCCTGCATTTCCACCTCTGTCTTGTTTCAGCCACTATTACTTTGCATTCGTCTTTCATAGCCAAAATTAATTCAACCAATGCAGATGCACAGAAGATTTGGCGCACAGGATGGATTTGGAAGTCATCAACATAAATAAAAGCCTCCTGGTTGAGAGATTAGGTTTCTGGCTTGCTCTCTCTGGAGGCAGGTCGAACACAGAAGCCCTTCTGTGTCCTCACAGTCCATGGTATTTAGGTAAGGGGCAGACATCCTTCCACTTCCTCTGTCCCTTTTGTCAAGTTCTGAGTGCTCCCTGGGAGCAGGGTCACGGGCAACGTGGCCATGACAAGGAAGCCAGGGCCCCTTCCAGGCTAAGGGAGGCTAGAGGGAGGATTCTAGGACACTTTCTTTCCAAAACAGTCATTATAAACAGGGAAATGAAAATTTAAACAACCACACAAACATTACCCTGGAACTTCCTCGGTAGAGACGGCAAAGCTGATCAAATGCCTGGATTTGCTGAGGGTCCAGAACAGGTTCTGACGTTGCCTGAGAAATAAAAACCGATAAGATTAATAACTCCATGTGGCTGGGTCCATGGGCAGCCTCTGACCTTGCCCCACATCTACGGTGAAGCAGAACATAGTGTTCTTTTCATTCTTTTGAAGAAAATCCATGCTATCAGCAATTCAAGAAACACTGAACATTTGTTAGAGATGGGCACTCCCTCTAAAGTCCTTCCTTGATGCTGCTCCCAGGTTGCCCTGTCTATGGATCCTTTTCTCAATGTGGCCTCTAAATTTCCCATTCTTATGAGCTTCCTTTAGGGTTTCTTGATCCCTCCTTTTATGCAGAGCAACTTAGTTCCATCCAGCATTCCCGTATCCATCACTTAAAATGACCAGCAAAGACACTCCTTTTCTTTGTGATGTCATCTGGGGATGCACTGTAATGGAAAGATCATGTCATTTCTCTGTCTCATTATAAAGCTGGTAGCTACCCATGGGGTTGCAAGGTTAGTCTGCTGCTTTTTGGAAGAGGGGAGTCTAGCTTGCTCTTACAGCAGTCGTTTTGTTCCACCTGTGACTATCAGAGAATCTGATTCAAGTCAAACCTAGAAAGAAGAAACAGGATCCTGGGGGGCAGCCAGAGGCTCTGGAGTAGGAAGTGAATCTGAAAGCTAATTCTGACACTGCTATTCGAACCTGCTATTCGACTTTAGCAAGTCACTTCACTTCTCTGAGCCTCAACTGCCTCACCTGTGAGGGGGCAATGCTTACCTTAAAGTGCCTTTAGCCACCTACTACCAGGCAAGGGCTCAGTATATGCCAGCTTTTATTACTACGATGTAGAGATACCTCTAGTTAAAAGCTGATTTCAGAAGTGTTTTTGTTTATGTGTAATCCTAGTGAAAAGTTTTTCTTTGCCCTGTGTTATGAACCATTCCCAAGGGCCTGTGACACCACATGGCTGGTGGCTAAGAGTCTGCTCTAGAGTTTGTCTGCCAAAGCCCAAACCCTGGCTTCAACAATTACTAGCAGCATAATCTAGGTAAGTTGCCTATTCTCTCTAAGCTGGGTGGGTGTTTTGTTTTGTTTTTTTTTAACTTGGGGATAATAACTACAGCTACACATATAAAGTGGCTAAGAGGATTAAAGATGGTAATGCACACAGAGCACGCAGCAAATGCCCAGGACTCTGCAAGTTCTCATTAAGTGCTATTAACTAGAGGACCCAGGAGGGCCTACAGGTGGTGCACACAGTCAGCCTCCGTGATGTACAGTCATGTGGACCTCATCCTAATGTGGTCACAGAACAGAAAGAAAGGAGGCATCAAAGCACAGTTCCCAGGCAAAACTAGGTACTGAAAGAGGGGTAGGGGAGAGGGGATGGAGAGAGAGAGAGGGAAACATCATGAAAAGGAGAGCTCCCGGGCCAACTCCATCTGTCTTCATTTACTGAACATCAAATATTGCTCACCAGTGCTCAGTACTGTGCTTGGACCAGGGCAGTCATGAGATAATTATCTGTTGACCAAATGGATGATGGAATGGGAAGGGCTAACATGCAGATTTTCTACGACTCATTCACTGGAGTTTTCATAAACCCTTTGCAGTGTAGTAAGAATAACACAGGGTAGGGCTCTTACAGACTTGGGCTCAATATGGGCTATGCCCACGACTAGTTGAGGGGGCTCTGGGCAAGTTACTCAGCTTTCTTCACTCTCAGTTTATCTTTACGGCATTGTTGTGAGAATAGAGATAATGCATGGGCCTGGCACCTATTTGATGTTCAATAAATGGCAGTGATTATTGCAATTGTGTTGTCTGCACTCCCAGAAAGAAGTGCCCGATAGAAAGAACAATGGGAGCCGGGCTCGGTGGCTCAGCCTGTAATCCCACGCCGTTGGGAGGCTGAGGTGAGTGGATTGCCTGAGCCCGCGGGGTTCGAGACCCGCCTGGGCAGCGAGACCTCATCTCTACAATAAATCAAAAAATTAGCTGGGCGTGGTACCACGCGCCTGTAATTCCGGCTACTTGGAAGGCTGAGGCGGAAGGATCGCCAGAGCCCAGCAGGTCAAGGTTGCGGTGGCCGGGAGCGGCCACTGCACTCCAGTCTGGGCGACAGAGTGAGACTCCAACTCAAAAAAAAAAAAAAAAAATTCATTAATATTCCAAAGGACACCATAAAATACATGATAAGTGAAAATAGAAGAAATAATTTTATTTTTAAAATTGTATTTATTTATTTTTAATTTTTGATTTAGGAGTGCACATGCATGTTCGTTACGTCGACATTTTGTGTAGTGGTGGGGATTGGGTCTCATTCAGTGAACATTGTGCCCTGTAGGTAGTTTCTGAACCCTAGCCCTCCTTCTCCTTCCTCCTTTCCCCCTTATTGGTGTCCTGAGTGTCTGTTAGGAAGAAATGTGTGTGTGTGTGTGTGTGTGTGTGTGTGTGTGTGTGTGTGTGTGTGTGTGTG